AAATTTAAAAAATATCTTAAAATACTTGAGGACATGTGATGAGATTGAAGAGTTATTCTTAGCTTTTTTAGGTATGATAATATTATGGTTATAGTAGTTTTCAATGAGTAATGAATCCCTAGCTCTTAGAGTACATATTGAAGTATTTACAGATAATATGGTAGCATTTGTGGAATTTGCTTTTTAAAAAAAATCCAGTGGTTGAGAGTATTTGGCGGGGAACATTGCTGAAACAAAATTAGCCATGGGTTGATAACATTGAAGCTGGATGATGGGGACATGGCTGTTAATTACTCTATTCTCTCTGCTTTTGTGTATCTTTCAAAGTTTTGATAAAACATTTTTTAAAAATTTGGGTTAAATGATTTTCATTGAGAAACAGAGGTAGTTTATCATAGGCTTCTGCCTATTTGTTTACCAATGCATCCTTCTAGCAAACAATCACTAAATGAAGGAAGTCACGGTCTTAACACGGAGTTCGTGCACTAGCACGTGGTGAGTTGTACTTGAGTTGAAAATCAGCTCTCCCTTCTTCAGCTAGATCTAGAATCTGCACTACTGCTTTATTCTGCTTGAAAAATGAGAATAAAATAATATTTTAAAATATCCTCTCAAGCCTTAGGAAACCATGAATAGGCCTTAACAAAAGAAAGGGGGAAAAGGCTCTTCTTACCTATAAATGGGTGTATTCCAAAAGCTTCTTTCTAAGACAATTCCTTACACCTAGAAGGTTGTTTCTCATGGAATTAATGTTGTAAACATCAAATAGGCTTCCAGTTCAGTCCACAAAAATCTATGAATTCATAATATAATATAATCTAAAAAACTGACAGAGTACTAAGTGTCCAGTAAAGGCAAAAATTAAATCCTTTTCCAGGACAATGCTTTCTCTCTCTTTTTTTTTTTCAATGAAGTCTATTTGATTTACAATTTAAATTATTCTCAGGTATACAGCATAGTGATTCAGTATTTTTGTGGACTGTACTATAAGTTATTACAAGATAATGGTTATAATTCCCTGTGCTGTACAATATATCTTTGCTTCTTATCTGTTTTATACATGGTAATTTCTATCTATTAATCCCATCCCCTAATTTACCTCTCCCTTCTTCCTTCTCCCCTTTGGTAACTGCAAGTTTGTTTTTTATACTTGTGAGTCTGTTTCTGTTTTGCAAAGACATTCATTTGTATTATTTTTTTAGATTCCATGTATAAGTGATATCATACAGAATTTGTCTTTCTCTGTCCGAGTAATTTCACTTAGTATAATATTCTCTAGGTCTATCCATGTTGCTGCAAATGGCAGGTTTTCATTTTTTTGTGGCTGGGTAATATTCCATTAGACAGACAGACAGACACTACACACACACACACACACACACACACACACACACACATACACACTCTGTATCTTCTTTATCCGTTCATCTGTTGATGGGCACTTAGGTTGCCTCCATTTCTTGGCTATTGTAAATAGCGCTGCTATGAACATTGGGGTGCATGTATCTTTTCAAATTAGTATTTTTGTTCTTTCTGGATATATACCCAGGAGTGAAGTTGCTGGATCATATGGTAGTTCTAGTTTTAGTTTTTTGCAGGACCTCCATACTGTTTTCCATAATGGTTGCCCCAATTTACATTCCCACCAACAGAGTACAAGGGTTCCCTTTTCTCCACATCCTCTCCAACATTTGTCATTCGTAGAGTTTTTAATGATAGCCATTCTGACAGGTGTGAGGTGCTTCTGTAATAAATAGCTATATTGAGCATCTTTGCATGTGTCTATTAACTATCTGTATGTCTTTTTGGAGAAATGTCTGCTCTGGTCTTCTACCCAGTTTCTGATTGGGCTGCTTGTTATTTGATATTGAGCTGTTAGGAAAATGCTTTCTTAATTCAATTCAAAACTCCAAAATATAAGTGACTTTTTTACATCTTTATAGGACTTAGTCTTTTAATACTCATGGATCATTTACTTGCCATATGCTTTGAATTCTGGAAGCAAAGAACAGTAACATTCACATCACCTCTGACTTGGACTTCTCCCATTCATAAGTTAAATACTTGAAAAAGAGTTTATCTACATATGAAGGATCTTAGTGATAAAAACCTGCCTTTTATGCTTTTTTTTCATGTGTTATCTCATTTGATATTCACAAGAAACCTTTGAAGTTTAAAGGGAAAATATTACCCCTATTTTACAGCTGAAAGGACTGAGGTTCAGAAGCATAATGGAAAACCCTTGGAAATCAGAGGAGCTCAGTTTGAGTGCTGATTCTTCTGTGAGACCATGTGCATGTTTTTTAACCTCTTGAACTTAAGTTTACTTGTCTGTAAAATGGGTATAATAAAATCCCATTTTATAATGTTACCATGGAGACTAAATGAGCTGATATATGTGAGAGTCTGATAAAAGATACTATGCAAATTTTCATTCTGCACTGAAAATGAAGACTGTGGTAGGGCTATTTTAGTAAATGGTCCCTAAGTTGAAAAATGAGACTCATCCATATGATATAAGGAAACGGGTAATGTTTAGCTTAGAGAAAGGTCAGGAGAAAGTGTTAGATGTTGTCAGCTATTTTCTGAAGGGCTCCAGTTATGAGGAGTAGATTTCCCTCAATTTAAAGAACTTCTACAGATACACACTACTACATATAAAATAGATAAAAAACATGGACCTACTGTACAACACAGGTAAATATATTCAATTTCTTATAATGAGCCGTAATCAAAAATAAACTGAAAAATATAGATGTATGTGTATAACGGAATTGCTTTGCCGTACACCTGAAACTAACATTTTAAATCAAGTACACTTCAATGAAAAATAAGAATTAAAAAAAAATTCCCTTGCAGTGAGTCTCCCTGTTACTGGAGATTCTCAAGCAAAGACCATACAGTTTCATGTTAGGAATATTGCAGAGGGGCTTCACTCCTCTCAGGTTTCTTCTCTTGAGGTTTTGTCCTTGAGTCTAACAAGCTGTCAGAGTTGGGTAAAGATTCCTGATCACTAATTTCACGGTCTGAGAAGTACTAATGATGATAGTCCTGTAATGGAATAAAAATGGCAGAAAATGATTTTTAAAAGTTTATTTAGCAAATATTTATTAAGCACTTAACATATTGCAAGATGATGTGCTAGGTACCAGGGCATTTTTAAAAAGCTGTTTCTGGTATTTCATTATTTGGACGTATGAGGTTCTGTTCTGTTTCCAGTCATTCTCTCACTTTTTAAATATATACTGTGTCAGTCTTAATCTTCCCAGGTCTTGTAAGGGAGGTGATAAAATGTTAACATTGCCCACTACCTATGTTCTTGTTATTCCAACTGATTTAGTTTCCAATTTTGTTGGAACTTTCCTGCATAGACTTTAATTCTCCAGAGTAGAGTCAAAATGTGTTGAAATGACCTCCTAAAAAAAGAAAGGGAAAATAGATCACCTAGTACAAAATACGTTTTTGCATTCTAGGCTCTGAGGATAAAATCTGTGGTTAGACATTTAATGTATCAGAACCTTAATGCTATTTAAACGTACGGATGAGTGCATTGTGTGTGTTTTGTGTATTTAAAATTGAGATTTTTGTTTGAACAGTGTCTTTCATTTGGTGTATTTCATGGTGATTTATCATAATAGACCACTTTAAATCATCTGAAATAGCAAGACACATGAATTTCAACAATAACTTCCCCAAGGCTAGAGAAGTCAGCGGGAGCTCAAACTGCTAGGTAGACATTTTTTTTTCAAACTCATATGCAAGTGTAAAACTTTTATGAGGCTGCTTTAACGAGGCCCTTTGGGATTTAGGGTTATTTATCTAAGCTCTTATTAAAAATGAAAACTTTTCTATGTTTAGCGCTGTAAAGCAAAACTGATCCTAACAATACTGTAAGCCGGAAGAATGAATACCGTTCTGCAGACTGACTCAAAAATAAAGTAAAGAAACTTTGGGGCTAGTGTCTTCAGCACTGACATTATGGTAATGGGGCGGTGATAGCAGGACCAGCATTTCAAAGCCTCCTTTAATTAAAAAAATTTAGCTCTACTATTGCTGCTGATTTAGGGTTTGACATGACTGATTAAAATGACTTCCAGCCTAAGAGTCCTGTTTCACAGAGCGCTCTGGTGTCTCTGTTGGAGTCAAGTTGCCCCAGGACGGTGTTGCCTGGTGCAAGGTCTATGAGCACTTTTCCTTTACGGTGTCTGCACTTGTTGAAGTATATCTTTGGCTTCTGCCCTCCCCTGCTGAGAAGTGGGCGGTAGGAGAGAGGTTGTTTCTAAGATCATTGTGCCAGAATCACTCTATATAACCCAGCGGAAGAGCTGAAACTGCTGCAGGAACAATTTTGGAATCTTGAAATATGTTCAGCTTCTTTGTAGGTATGTTCTGGTTTGATGAGTCTGGGTCCTGCAGTAAATCTATTCTCAGACCCTGGGAGCTAGGATTTCAAATAATCTGTGATGCAGTGCAATTTTTGGGAGTGAGGGCATTTTGAGGGGAGAAAGCACGTGTTACAAAATCAGGGTCAAGAGCTCTTGCAGACTGTAAGAGCTTATCAGAGTCAATTTAGCTTGGATGTGTCCAGTCCAGCTGGCAGAAATTTTTAAGAGAAGGTGGATGGATAAATGGATGAGTGCATGGACAAAAAAAGATGGGGTAGAGAGATGGATGGACAGGTAAAACTACTTCCTGTTGATAATGATTCTTGATGAATAGTGAATTATTGGTGAATGGTGAATTTCTATGCTACAGAATGTGTATAAAAATTGGACACCAGACACATCTGACTGAGATCACGGTGACCAAATAAATGGACAATTTTGAAGATGTGTATGAAATGACCAAAAATGAAAACTTTCAGCCAATGAGCATTTTTGGGTTGTTTTTAAGGGTCTTACTTCAACAGTTAACCTAAACAGTACTAATCTAAGTCATCGGAGGTAACACATCACTTAGTGGAATCTGGGAACTTCTGAGTCTCCACCTCTGTTTCACAGGAAGTGAAGTTGGTTCTGAGACAGTAAAGAGAAGAGCCAGAGTGGAAAGCACGCAGATGGTATTTCTAAGGAGGGAAGTACAGAACTACCAGCTGGCAGTGATGGTGCAAAGGAGGAAGGAGACAAAGGGCAAACACCAAGAGAAATGATGCTGGCACAAGTGTTGGCTGAAGGCCGGAGGTAGAGGCAGCGCAAGCATAAAAACAAACAGTTTGGGAAATGTCAAGATGAACTTAAGTTTAAGAGCTTCTTTTCTGAAAGAATCTCAAATTTGCAGTTGCAAATGGGAGGAAGAGTGTATGTGCACTTGGCTTTCGCTCTTCAACTTGAGCAGCTGTTTTAACAGTTGAGTTGGTAGGCACTGGCAGGAATAGAGTATTTTAATTTGGGAGAAACCCAACTGCTAAAACAGCTGTTTGGTCTGATGAGACTTAAGCTGGCTCTGCTGAGGTTACATGACTTAATAGGATAGTAGCAGCAGGCAGATTGGCTGTTATCATTATTTTATTGGACAGAACAGAGGATGAGCGGACACTAGGTTGAATTCTAGGTTGATCTCTGACTTTCCAAAGAAGCCACACTCCTGGTTTATTTTAGCAAAGTACAGAAGCAGGTAACATGGGCTTTTTACCTTGTTCCAAGTTCATGGAAATTACCTGAAATAATTTTGCCTATGTTCTTGGGATGCAAGCTTTTTTTCCCTTGCACTTTTAAAAAAGAAGCCTCCCTAGTTTTATTAGCATCTCTATCATCTCCTAATAATAGATAATATACCTGCTCAGGTCACCTCAAGTCACCAGTCATTTGTATATATATTTTGTATTCTTTGTTACCTAAGCAAAGAATGCTATTAATAGCAGCCACCAAATTTGTCAGTTTGTAAGCAACATGTTTTTAATATCTAGAACAACCTGAGTGACACTGACAGTGATGAAAATCTTGAATTCCAAATTTGCCTTCTCAAGAACCTTTTTTCATGGAAAATACTACTGATTACATTAGTTTCCAGTAAATTTAAGATTTAAAGTTCTTGTTAAGATGATTTGGTTGATTTCTTGCAAAAAAAAAACTAATTTTACTTTATATAATGTTAACATTTTAAACATTCAAAGATAGGTTTCCTTTCATATATTTTCAAAATGAAAATGGCTTGACTTTTTATATGATCACTGAAATAGTCATATTCACTGGAAACATTTGAAACAATACAGGAAACTATAGTATAAGAGAGCAAGGAGAATTCTTATAATTTCAGCCTCCACAGGAAACTGCAATTAACATTTTGGCTCTCTTCCTTGTATATATCTCTTTATTTACATATACACAGAAAGATGTGATTAGAAGATTAAATTTTATATAAATTAATTTTAGCTGTATATATTGTTCTTTATTTTGCTTGTGCTTTTTTTTATAACTTGTCAAAACTTTGTGACTGTCTTTCCATGTCAGTATAGATCTACAGTCATCATTTAGATCTTGACTTTGGGGTCTTTCATATTTTGAAGTAGTGACTTATTTTTCTTATTTCTAAAACCCAGTGTTGTAAGTAATTAGAATGCAGAACTGAAGATGATGTTTGAGATGTTAACAAGAGATGAACTTAGATATCAAAAGTATAATAAGAGATGAATTAGGTATCAAAAATATACTTTCACTGAAAAAAAGTACATTTAACTAACTAAAGCAAGCAATTTATATATTTTGAATGTTTGTATCAATAATTTAACAAAAGTACTTTGGTTATAAATGAAATATTTTTGTTATTTAAAAAAAAATTGAATATTAGCTTTTTTTTTAGTTGGACCATCAAGAAACATTGTGTTGCTTTCTTCCTATTTCCTAGGCTAAAAAATTCAAGGTTTCCTCATTTTAACAGTCACAAATAATTTCTCATTACAATATAAATTTGTTCAGAGGATGGCAATATTTTTATATTCACAGTGGGATGTATTGCTGTTAAAAAAAAAAAGATAACTTAGCTTTTCTAGCTCAACTAACGCTGGTAAATTCAGGTGCTTAACTGCCTTTTACCAGTTTCTGAGAATAACTTTAAAACTTTTCGAGAATACTGATTTCTTAAATATCCCATATTTAATGCCCCACTCCCACCCCAGTTACATACACATACACTATCCAGTGATGATTACCCACATTTTAAGTGTCTTTCTCACACTTTGGATACTAAATATTGAGAGGAGTCTCTCAAAAATGAACAAAATGTAGAATCGTGAAAGCCTGTTATCAGAGATAGCTCATTTCTAGGGTATGGTGGCAAGGAAAGAGAAGCTATATATTTAATAATTTTAAAAAATTGTGACTGTTGGACATTTCGATGAAATTCCCCTTACATTCCAAATGCTTTCATTTAACAAGATTTAATTCTGCCTTGGAAAAATTTAATTAAATATTTCCCTTTTTGACTTAAGACACTGATCTAGGGGATACTTATTAACCCATAAAACCTACGAATAGAACTTTGGAGAATACTTACCAGTTTCTATAATCACATCTCTTTAGGGTCAGCTAAGGGATAGATGACAGATATAAAATTTAGGAGATGATATGGCTTGACCTAGTACATCTTATTGTTTATATTCATTTTAGTAAGCTACAGAAGAATCAAGTTGTTACAGGGGAATTGAATTTAAGTTTAGAGAAAGGACAAGATAACTTGGAAATGGATTCTCTTACCTTACCTGAAATGGGCGTGGCAGCCAGGGTGACATTGACATGTGACTTCTTCACAGAAGGTCTGAAGTCTTCATGAGGACATTTTCTAAAATCAAGGACACTGAATAAGTCAGTGATCCTGTCATTTGGATTCTCATCTCTCCTCATGAAGGGGCAGAATTTTTAGTCTTTGAGATTTGTCTTTGGATGAGTCAGAGAGAACCACTTGTGATTTAGGGTTATGCAATCCAGTTGCTCATAACTAGGTTACCAATTTGGGCCAGGCCCAATTCATCTGAATGAGCTGTGTACCATTGCCAACTGCCCTCTCGTGAAGGAAGGGTGTCTGGCCTTTCAAGAGAAGGCCATCTGAAATTGGACTTGGGAAGAGATATGAGAGTGGCCAGGTACATGAAGATGATGGTATTTAATAAAGGCAGGGGAGGAGAGGGTTGGATGGTGCAGACCACCAGGATACACCCATTCCGAAGCCAGGGGCTGATAGACCTCCCATAGATCACATCTCTCTTTTCTGCTGAGACCCCCCCCCACATGGTTTCAGTGGACATCTCAACACAGTCATAGCCAACCAACTTGAATTGAAAAATGAAGAAAACCTATTTGTTATATACCAGGGCTAGGAAATAACAGAAGAAGTTTTAAACCCTTGCTTTGTACTTTGTGTATCAGAAACACTTGTACATCCACATTTGAAAGGACTGAAACTGTGGGACAGAGTGGATAGTGTCGATTGATGGAAGTGCTGGCTGAGTTGGCCCCTGATGGACAGGGGAGCTAGTGAGGCCCAGTAAGAGGTTTACTTATGAGAATGTTGTCAGGGTGGATCTAATTTATTACATCCCAACCATCATACCTTGACTTTAGTTACTCGGGAAAGTGATTAAAGGATTGAAAATGCACTTCTCAGTCACTTTTTTGACCACTTTCCTCTGGTAATGGAATGCGGGAAAATGTGAACAAGGATATCTTCTCTTTAAGAAATCTTTAAAAATTTTTTCTAAATGTTTTGTTTAACAATACTATTCAAAAATAAATAACCCTATGGTGTATGGGTTTGTTGTAGTTTCTTAGATTTTTTTTCTTTTTTTTATTTAAAAATTAAAAAAAATTTAATTGAAGTTCAGTAGTTTACAATGTTGTGTCAGTTTCTGGTGTACAGCATAATGTTTCAGTCATACATATACATGTATTTCTTTTCATATTATTTTTCATTATAGCTTATTACAAGTTATTGAATATAGTTCACTGTGCTATGCAGGAGAAATTTGTTGTTTATATAGCACTCAGTATCTGCAAATCTTGAATTCCCAGTTTATTCCTTTCAACCCCCTTTCCCCGCTGTTAACCATAAGTTTGTTTCTATGTCTGTGAGTCTGTTTCTGTTTTTATAAATGCTTGTATTATTGCAAGATACCAGCTGTTAAGAACATAGAACTGGCATTATCATTATCACTAAAGAAGAGAACTGACCCTATGAACATGCCTGCCAGAAACTTCATAATTAGAAGTGATATCATTAGAAATGTCATAATTTATTTTCATGTTGAGCTCTTTTATACTGTATTAGGCTCTTGATATAATTGTAACTTCTGGGAGAGTTGTTATGTCATCTCAATTTGTCTTTTTTGCCTTTGTTACATTAGACCTCTGTTTCCTGGAAGTCTGTATCACCTTTTCTCAAGTTCTTTTTTAATATTGATTTGTGTTTGATTCATTCTCAATTTCACCATTCTTGGTAGAAGTGATGGAAGATGACTTCTTGTTGCCTCTTTAAAAATAGATAGGCCATAGTTGCTTCTCTAGGGAATTTTGTCAAAGCAGAAGTTTAGAAATAAGGATGCTGTGTCCTCTGCTTGCATTTGGTCTCTTAGACTAAGGTCATCTGGCTGACAGCTCTGGTCTCCTAGGAAAGCTTTTCTTCTCCCAGTTAAAAACTACAGAAAAGGTTTCAATTGATGGTTAGTTCCTTATTTCATTTGAAGTATCTTGTTGATTTTATAGGGGACGATTACTGATTTAGGTCTAATACAATTTAGATCTATGATGTCTTTATAGGAAATACAAGAAAATAATCCAGATTCTGGATTGCTATGATTCTGTTTCTTAAAATGTTTATATCATTAACAGAAATTTGTATTAATATTTGAGCCATGAGTGGATAGTCTCAAACATCACTTCTGGCTTAAACAGTACAAGCCCTAAATAACACATAATCAATTTGGTAATTTTAAGATAAAATGAATTTTCTCCTTCTTTCCTTCCTGCTCTATTTTCTTTATTTCTTTCTTCCTAAATTAAAAAAAAAAGTGAAAACATTAACTGAAGTTTGGGGGAAAATTTATCTGTAGTTCTAACTTTCCAAAACAACTGCTTTCATTTTTCATGTATTACTTTCTCTCCTTGTCCACGTATATGGATGTTTCATATGATTAAAGCAATATTTTATGCAGTTAAAATTACAGAGAAAATCTGTAAATCTTAACATTGAAAAAATATGTGCTGGGACCCATGAAATGTATACTGTGGGAAAAGAGAAGACAGGATGAGTACGAGGAATTTGAGTCATATTAGGTCCAGCTGGATTGTCTGACTTCAAAAATAAGGCTATTCAGATTATTAAAAAATGAAATGTTCTATTATATCTGAAATTTATCTTATTATTTGCCCTTGGGTCCTCAGTTTGTTTTAATAGAATTTATTTTAAAAAATTGAGTATGCTTTACCTTGTTTATGCTATAGCAAAAAAAGTATGAGATTTAGGTAGAGAGGAACATGCACACATTTCTTTTCTATCACTGACTATGTGATCAGGACAACATTTTTCACCTTTCTAAGCTTCAGGAGGGATAAAAATCATTAAATCACAGAATATTTCAAGATTAGGTTTAAAATGCCAATTTTGGATTCACATAACATGCACGTAACTGCAATTATATAGAAACATGAATGACTAACATGTATAACTAATTGATTTTTTCTTTGTGACTTTGATTATCATCAGTATTATGAGTGTCCTTTTGTGTAAATCTTGGTGGTTTGATAGGCTATGTGTAAACTCCAAGATCTGATGAGGAAACTTGGCTTGTCCAAGATCACTTGCTGGTGAGTGACACAGCAGTATTTTATTCTCTATTTCAGGGTCCTTTTTGATAGATCCCACCTTAGCCACTTATTAGCATGTTGATACCTTTAAGTAGACATACATTCTTTTGTCTACACAATAAATCACATTGACATTGTAACATTAATTTGTTTCTATTATAAAAAATAACACTTGGAGCATAAGAAAGCATAAAGAAGAAAACGTAAAACATAGGTTATTCCTCTAATAAATACGTTATTATATTTATTGTGTTGCCTTCAAATTTTTTTTCTCACCATGTAATTATTTTCACTTACCATGACATATGAGTATTTTCCCATATCCATCTTACCACTTTTCTTGTTCAAGTTTTAGAATATATATGTAATAAAGTGGCAGCTTAAGAAGGATAAAATAACTTGGTACAGAAAATGAAGATACTCATAACTGTATCTTTTACAAGCTAAAGAGTTAGCATATAGAAGGAGGAGGCATTGGCAGATTCTGTTGCTAAGGTCCCACTTGTGGCTTGCTTGGATAGGGTAATGTTACCTACAGTGTTCTCAGCCATCAGTGTAGTACAGTGGGTAGAGAGCAGGCTTTGAATTCGGGCTGAGTGAATCCTGGTCCTATCACCCACTAGCTGTGTGCTGTTGGGCCATCAATTAACCTCTTTAACCTTTGGTTTCCTCAACTTTAAAATGGGATGATCATGCCTGCCTTTCAGGGCTGCTCTTGGACTAGAGACAGTGACCATAAATAGAGTGCCTGGCCCCTGTCTGGATGAGGGTGAGATGATAGTCAGAAGAAACCTATG